GAGAGAGAGGAGAGAGAGAGAGAGAGAGAGAGAGAGAGAGAGAGAAAGAGAGAGAGAGAGAGACTGTGTGTTTGTCAACTAGCACTTCCCTGTATGTCACGCAGGGTTCAGTGTGTGCCAATGAATGCACCCTGGGATTTCACATGTAGGCCTACAATTTTTAAAAAAGCAATAATTCTTCACCTATCTTGAATCCAACTTCTGTTATCGTCGAAATAACCCTCCACCAGTAACCAAGTGACAATATTTTTTTTTTTAAACAGTCACGGCTCTTCAACTTATGAAAGTAATAGGGAACATAATACCAATAATCCATTTGACTTGCTAACAGTACCCATGTTGGGGCCAACTTGTATAACAATTCTCTTCTTATCTTTTCTTTTTGAAGGAGTAAAGGTTAATACACTTTAGATCAGAACTGGAACACTGAGCCTATCTTAGTAGAGTAGATGAGCTCTTACAATTTATGTCACGCAGTCTTCTGTACGTTCCGATGAATGCACTCTGGGATTTCAAAGCATGTACAGTTTTAAAAAAAATAATTTTTAAAACTATCTTGAATCCAACTTGTTCTGTCGTTGAAATAACCCTCCACCATTAGCCAACCAATTGACAATATTAAAAAAAACCCCAAAAAGTCACGGCTCTTCAACTTATGAAAGTAATAGGAAACATAATACCAATAATCCATTTGACTTGCTAACCGTACCCATGTTGGGGCCAACTTGTATAACAATTTCTCTTATCTTATCTTTTTGAAGGAGTTACGGTTAATACACTTTAGATCAGAACTGGAGCACGGAGTCTATCTTAGTAGAGTAGATGAGCTCTTACAATTATGTCACACAGGCTTCAGATGGTGCCGATGAATGCACTCGGGGATTTCACAGCATGTACAATTTAAAAGTTAATAATTCTTCACCTGTCTTGAATCCAATTTGTGTTGTCGTTGAAATAACCCTGTACCAGTAGCCAAGTGACTATATTTTTTAAAAAATATTCACGGCTCTTCAACTTATGAAAGTAATAGGGAACATAATACCAGTAGTATACTTGACCTGCTAAACGTAGGACTACTTGCATGTCTCTGACCTTTTCTTTTTGAAGGGATTACGGTTAACACACTTTAGGTCAGAACTGGAGCAAGGAGCCTATCTTAGTAGAGTAGATGAGCTCTTACTATAATGTTATACACACCCTAGTTAACATAATAAAAATCATTTTGGAGGTTGGCTGTCTCGACCCTGCTGTACGTCAGGCTAACTTGGGCTGAGTGGGACACACATCCTAGGAGAAAGACAGGGGAAAGCTATCTGCTTGATAGAGTAGACAGTAAACACGCCCTCTTAGGAAATCGAACTCGTGTCTTCTACGCACAGTGAGGACGTACATTACCCGACCATTACGTCAAATACGGCAGTGTTGTGTGGGTGAAGAATGTTCAGGAAGAAATGTAGATGGAGGTAGGGAACAGCCGTCGGTCACAAAGATTTAAGTTGGGCCGGACGCCAGGCCTAATCTTAATTTTAAAAATCATTCTGTGGTAGATGTATTATTGTACTGTCTAAATCGCAACTACAGTATATAGTGGGTCACCATCATCATCATTATCGTCAAGTACCAGATCTGCAATAAACATTAGCGTTCATTGTTCGCCGATCTTTTCTTTCCTTGAATGCCCCCCCCAACCCCCCCCCCCAACCCCCCCCCCCAACCCCCCCAAAAACAAAAAACAAAAAACAAACAAAAAACAAACAAACAAACAAAAACAAACAACAAAAGACAAACAACAACAACAAAAGAAACAGTTGAACAGAAAATTAAAAAACACCCCAGGTTTTCCATATCAGCAAATCTGAGTCGATCCCTGCCTCGTTTGCTTTTAATATTTCCAGTGACAGAAAGATGAACAAAGCATTTATATTTCAGTGTTCCAGAAACGGCTCGCATAGTGGCTTTTTTTTTTTGGCCGGGTGGGGTTGGGAATGTGGAGGTGGGGCAAAGTGAGCGACCCAAGCACGCTTCCGAGGAAGAATACACTCTTAATACTCTTATAAACCGCTTCTCTAAAGTTATCATTTTTGTGGATGGTTATTATTATTATTATTATTATTATTATTATTATTTTTATTATTACTATCATCCTTATTATTATTAGTATTATCTTTTAAAAATTATTATTATCATTCTTATTTATTATTATTATTATTATTATTATTATTATTATTATTATTATTGTTATTGTTGTTGTTGTTGTTGTTGTTGTTGTTGTTGTTGTTGTTGTTGTTGTTGTTGTTGTTGTTGTTGTTGTTGTTGTTGTTGTTGTTGTTGTTGTTGTTGTTGTTGTTGTTGTTGTTGCTGTTACTGTTGCTGTTGCAATTAAAATAGAAGCAACAGAAATATGGTATCTTATGAGACTGTTGAGAATATCGTGGGAGGAAAAGAAATCAAATGAGGTTGTGCTTGATGAAGCACGCGTGGGACGCTCACTGTTAAAAACAATTAGAAAACGACAGTAAATGCAGTTTTTGGGACACCTGAATAGACATAAAGGTCTTGAACAATCATATAACTCTCACAGGTAAAATTGAAGTCAAACGAGGCTGTGGTAGGCCCAGAGCAATTTACTTAAGGAACCTAAACAAATGGGTAGCATGGAAAGATAAGGGAAACGTAGCTTTTTTAAGAGCATCCGAGCAAATGAATGAATAGAGAACCATGATCACCGATGTCTGCCGCAGATCTGGCGCTGGATGATGATTATTATTCTCTGTTCAGGGCAACAAACACTCTCTGCCGGAGGAAGCCCTCTACATGATCCGCTTCCACTCGTTCTACCCCTGGCACTCCTGCGGGGCATACACCCAGCTGACCAACGACAAGGACAATAGCATGTTGCGATGGATACGGGAGTTCAACAAGTTTGACCTATACACGAAGGCACCCGACATGCCGGACATTGAAGAGCTCAAGCCCTATTATCAGGTATGTCGACTGAGTGGACAAAGGCTGAGCTCGCTGTTGCTGATTGCATAACAAAGCTTTGCACAGTAATAATCATATATTATGATCATTTGGAGGCACTTACAGGATTGCGGATTGTTTTAATCAGTAAGAACTAGTGTTGTTGGAGGTGTGCTTCCTCGACTCTGTCTGATGGGCTGGCTTGTGTCGAAAGTTTTTTGGGTTTTTTCAGAGGGGGGGGGGGGGGGTAAGTTTTACCGCCCTCGCAACTAGTTACTGCATGCAATCATATGAGCGCGTGGGACACACTGTGCATGATTGCTTGATTGTTCATTGAATGGTTGCCGGGTGCTCTGAAAATGGTGAAATGGTATAGGTTTAACTCCCCTATCAACACTATTAAGAGGCGGGGCTTCCGAGTTTAACGTCCATCTCCGAAAGGACCGAGCCATATAATATGGGAAATTCTTGAAAAGTGCCTTTCCCAAGGACACAACGTCGGACCGAGCTGAGGCTCGAACCCCCGAACTTGCAATCTCACGATTACGAGTCCGGTAGCCTAACCACTAGGCTGCCGACGCCACTCCGGGTGTTCTGGTTTGCTCTAGGATATATTTTTCTTATCAAACAACTATCGTTCTTTTCTCTTCTCTTTATGTTCTTTGTATGTTACTCTTTAACTTTAATTACACGTCTAATCTTCGTCACTTACATTATGGCCTATTTGTATTTGCCGTAAAACTCTTACAAAGACTAAAAATGATTGTTCCTTATTCAATCTGTTCCAGGGACTCATCGACAAGTACCTCCCCGGAAAAATCAAATGGTGATCTGACTCTGGCAAGAGGTGAAAGGAAACATAATTTGCCCTCAACCTGCAGTTTTGACAGAAGAAGCAGATGATTCACCCAGCTGCTTCTAGTACATTCCTTCTCAATGTTATCTCTCCCTTTCTGTATTAGATCATTTTATTTGTGTTTAACATTTTTTGTAAAACAATAATTACAATGATATACCTGATTACATTTTATACTGGATCAAACAAGTGAAATACCGTTTGATATTTCCTACGCACAACTGACCCGGTTAAAGTTTGTCAAAGCCAAAGGAGCTATATTTTACGTTGTGGCATGGTGTGTCTTTTATACTGCAACAAAACGATAGAACCGAAGAACATGTACGACAAGGTTCCTATTTTCCTGTAGTATAATTGCTGCTTAGCATAATACATGTACTTTGTTTTTACGCCTCGAAAATATTTATTCAGATGAATTTTATATACAATAATTAATCCGACTCTCTTTCCAAGAAGCTTTTCATTTTCTCTGGGACGTGAAGGATGTTTCTTTTCTTACTAACTGTATACTTTATTATAAGAAAGAGTGCGGCCAAGACTACGATTTTACTCTATATGCCCCTATGTGATGCTACCGTTATTCCTGTCTTTATGATCCATTACAATAAAATGTCATTACTACTACACTGCAGGTATTGTTTGTTTGTTTCTTGAGTAAAGAGAAGCACATCGACACAATATTTAGCCCTGGTAAAAAGTACAGAGATGTAACAAGAGGGAAAGTGTAGAGGTAGGACCTTCCTCCAACCACCCGCTCAACAGCTCTAATGAATGAACTTGAAAAAAAAAGTATTTTTTGCTGAATCAGCACAATATCAGTCCCACCAACTTCACCAGGTGGGCTTACACATCAAAACAGTAGAAACAGTGGAAGACCCAGCACATACGAGAAACCTGAATTACACGGCTATGTAATATGACGTCGCTTGGCACTGCAGAGAGAACAAGGGGCCAATATTATTGTCTTCGATAATATATTATTATTATTAAGCTTGCAGCTGTAATTACACGAGTTGAAAATTTTTCATTATGTGCGCGAGGCCAAAGGAAACAAAAGGAGCAGATTATACTAGAGCTTCCTATCAACCATTGTCATGTGGTCTTGAATAGAGGAAAGAAAACGACCGATATCTTGTACAGGAAATGGTGTTTGTTTCTCTTTTTTGTTTCGTTTTTAAACGAAGTAATTGTAAATCTACTTCAAAATAAACCACAGTGATCAGTAAAAGAAACCGGGGCTTAAATAGTAATATTATCATTGAGATCTAAATGAGGGTATGTCTGATTGGACGTTGTATCCCTCTCAGCCCAGGATGAAGCAGTTCACCTCTGGTGGTGTTTAGTGTTTATAATTTAGAAAATTCGTGCATTAGCAGCAGACCGAAAAACAGAATTAACATTAACAATTTGGTCAAAATCGACTATCGAAACTTTTTGCAAGAAGTAATATAAAATGTCCGAGTAGCTTGCCTCAACACCAGGTTAAGCCGTAATAAAGCGGACGAGTTAAATGATTTAATTATTGAAACGAACCTTGATATTTTAGGTATGACAGAATCATGGTTGCTGGAGTACGGTGACGATGCTATTTTATCAGCAATATGTCCAGTTGGTTATTCAATTAAGTCTTTCCCTCGTGTCGGGCGTAGAGGAGGAGGAGTAGCATTTATTTATAGAACTAGTTTAGCACAAGTTACTGTGACAAAGATTCCCTGTCACTCATGTGAGGCTGCTTTAATGTCATTCCAGCTGCAGTCCAAAAGCATTACCATCTGCTGCATATACAGGCCACCAGCGTGTAAAGCAAATTACATCAAACTATCCGTTTTTATGGAGGTATTTCTAAATTTAATTTCAACTCTGAAGATGAAAAGTACACCATTCATTATAACTGGTGATTTTAATTTTCACTTTGGCTCTGAAAACCCTGTCACTAAAAGTATATGCAACCTGCTGACAGAAAATGATTTAAAACAACTCGAACAAATACCAACACATAAAAGTCAGCACATCCTAGACTGGGTTATCTCCCCTATTGAAAAGAACCGTGTGAAACGCATAAACGTTCTGGACAAAGACATTTCGGATCATTGTCTTCTTATTGTTGACTTGAACATCAAAAGACCAAGGAAAGAAATAAAAACAGTTCATTCCCGGAATCTGAACGATATAAATTTACACCAGTTTCAATGTGACATTCGTGATGCTCTTGCTATTAGTTCCCCTTTTAACATAGAAACCCTCAATACCATCATGAGGAATATTTTAGATGATCATGCTCCAGTTAAAAAACGAAAATGATCTCATCGACCTGTTGGTAGGTGGTTTAATTTAGAAATAAAGGCTGCAAAAAAAAAGAAGAAAAAAGACAAGCGGAAAGAAAATGGAGAAAAACACGACTTGAAGTGTATAAGGGAATATTAATATTTTATTACTATGATGAAGAATTCTGTTAGTAAATTTTTTTACCAAGGCCAAGCGTACTTTCTTTTTGTCAAAATTTGAAAATGTTAAAACTTGTAAGGAACTTTTTGATGTCTCTAGCGAACTGCTTGGCTACCAAAACAGAACAGAATTACGCCCTGGCACCGATAGAAATCTTTGTAGTAGCTTTTAAGACTTTTTCCCTTAAAAAGTCACCCCTAATCAGGCAAGAGCTCGATAAAATGTACGCAATTGCCCCAAATTACCATCAGTTTAAAAGGGGCTAGTCATCGACTATTTTACTTTAGCAACGGAAGAAGAAATCAAAAAGATCATATTAGATAGTCCATCAAAAAGTTGCGCCTTAGACCCCATGCCCACCAGCCTTTTAAAGAAATGTTTGCATGAACTTCTTCCACATATCACCCACATTGTAAATGATTCTCTCCTCACAGGCACAGTACCAAATTGCTTTAAGACAGCACATGTTAGACCCCTTTTGAAAAAAGCTGGACTTCACGAAAAGGACTTAAATTTTTTTAGACCAGTTTCAAATCTTTCTTTCCTATCCAAAATTCTGGAAAAAGTTGTGTCTAATAGACTGTTACATCATATTAAAGCAAAAAATCTTAGCGAAGTCTATCAGTCAGCATACAAGATACATCATAGTACCGAGACAGCGTTACTTAAGGTCTGTACTGATATTTTAAAATATTTTGATGAAAAAAAGATGTGTCTTCTTACTCTTTTGGACCTTTCGGCTGCATTCGATACCATTGATCATGACATTTTACTCGAGAGATTAAATACTACTTTTGGCATAAAGGGTACTGTCCTGCGATGGTTTGAGTCATCTTTTAAAGATCGATCATAAGCAGTTGTGGTTGGAAGCACATGTTCTGATAATGTTTTGCTTAGATGTGGTGTTCCTCAGGGGTCTGTTCTTGAACCTATTGCAGATATTTTAAGACAATAAGGCATGAATTACCATCTTTATGCTGATGACACTCAAATTTATAAGTCTATTGATTTAGATCAAATGCCACTATTAGTCGACTCTACTGAACAATGTACTAGAGATTTAAAAATCTGTACCCGTAGAATTATGCAAATTTAAAAAGCCAAATTATGCCCCAAAAAAGCAAAATTATGCCAAAATTATGCAAGTTACCGTAACACCATTCGCAACATGTTTTGCACTTTTTCAACATGAAGTTTCATGATTTTCATGTTTTATGTACTGAAAAAGTGAAAACAGAACATATCAGTATCAGTAATTTGTTGTGTATTTGGAAAAGAAAACAATACGCATCAGTAAAAAAAAAAAAAAAAAAAAAGCAACCTTAAAATATAATCTCTGTAACTTTCAGCTGTAGATCTAGATCTAGATCTAGATATCTATAACTATAAAGGAAAGAAAAATGTTTTAAAATAATAATAATAATAATAAAGGACATCTGGATCTCTGATGCTGGCACATTTCTAAAACCAGGGACACATGTCAAATATGAAACATCAGCAGACATGAGAGCAACAACTTTTGATGGATTGAAAAATTGAACATGCTCAAGGAACAAAATCACAACCCATAACCAAGATCTTCTAACAAGGGAAATAGCCAACTTTTCACTTAAATGAGACTTTTTACGGTGATTACGTCCCTTTACTCACATGGCGGGCGTTAATTAATTGTTTATTGTTTTGTGAAAAAACGTGAAAAAACGCGGAGAATCCAAAATTATGCAAATGTTGCAGAATTACGCGAAAAAACGCGGCCGGCACCGCCGCACAATCGCATAGTCCTAGGGGGACAGAACTATATGGATGACCAGCAATAAATTGAAACTAAATGATGACAAGACGGAAATAATGTTGAGTGGAAATACAAAAGCCATTAGAAATCTCCCAGAACTACAAATTGATATTAATAACCGTACCATTCGTTCAAAAAAGAAGTCTTAAAAATCTAGGGGTTCAGTTGGATTATGATATGTCTATGTCCTCCCAAATTATTAGCCAGCTCTGCAAAAGTATTTACTTTCAGCTTAAGAAAATTGGCAGTGTAAGAAATTATTTAACTAAAGCAGCAGTCAAGACACTTGTGACAACACCGATTTTTATCAAAGTTAGATTACTGTAATGCTATTTTGTCTGGTTTGACAGCCAAAAAACTATCAAAGTTACAAGTACTCCAAAATGAAGCAGCAAAATTGATAATGAAACAAAAGAAATCAGCGAATGTAACACCAATTCTGAAAGAACTACACTGGCTGCCAATTTAAAAAAAAGGATCAAATACAAAACTGCCGTTCTCTGTTTTAAATGTATAAATGATAGTGCACCCTTTTATCTTAAAACATTCCTGGAATTATATCATCCACATAGAGCCCTTAGATCAGCCTCTGATAATATAATTCTTAAAACTCCAAAACAAAATTACACAATTTTATTCTTTGGTCCCTAGGTATGGAACGAACTCCCATATAAAATAAGATCTGCCCCAACAATTTCCATTTTCAAAAATCAGCTGAAACATTTTGTATTCACAAAAGCATACCTGTCATAATGATGTACTGTGATATATTATATATGCATGTGTATGCCAGACTGAAGAAATAGCGAGTGAGAATGGGAGAGAGAAAGAGAGAAAGAAAGAGAGAGAGAGAAAGAGAGAGATAGATAGAGAGAAAAGAGAGACAGACAGAGAGAGAGAGAGGGGGGGGGGAAGAGAGAGAGAGAGAGAGAGAGAGAGAGAGAGAGAGAGAGAGGGAGGGAGAGAGAGAGAGAGAGAGAGAGAGAGAGAGAGAGCGAGAGAGAGAGAGAGAGAGAGAGAGAGAGAGAGAGAGAGAGAGAGAGAGAGAGAGAGAGAACGGACATGTTTTTCTATCTGTATAGAATGAATGCTTTAATGAATGTTTCTAGTTACTCACGTTTCACCTGTATTGTGACCGTTCTTGAAATTTTTATTGCATTGTATATTTTAGTGAACACATTTCCAACCTCACTGCGAGACTGTTTTTCTCATATAAATTTTTACACACATTTATATCATGTATAATACGTTGTTTTACGTACACGCATGTCAATTTATTTTTAAGATGTGATGTCTTTTTCGTTGTAATGCGCATTGAGCATTTAAAAATAATGGAAATGCGCAGCATATATGCTATTTATTATTATTATTATTATTATTACTATTATTATTATAATAGGCCTACTATTAAAATGATCTAAATAGAATCTGGTGGGGTTGAAATAATGAATTAACAAACTGGAGTTAACATGTTGTCCATGCACCAGTCTCAATCTGGTTCTGAAATTCAGATGTTAATTATTCAAAAGCCAAACGAGGCCTACATTCAACTAATTTGTTTATTTGGAATATTTCCATGCAGCCTGGCAATGTACGTGTCATTTACCCCACATTGACACCATTTAGTTTTGGATTATTTAGGAGGCGGGCTTCCGATCATTTCTGGCAGGGCCAAATCCATGCTGAAACTGAGAGGGTACAACATCCCAGGAAAAAAACTTGAAGTGTTCGTAAAAATCCTCCCCACTCGGGAATGAACTCGGTGCTCCTGCATGCTACAGCAAAGCACCGAATCAAGCAATACACCACAGACGCTGGAGAACCAAATGTCACACCTTCATAAATGACACAAATAGGAAAGCATGGATATTTCAATTTCACACCACAGCTGTAGTGCTCTCTCACTCTCAAGTCAGACTTCACTGAATGGGGGGGGGGGGGGGGGGGGGACAACTAATTTAATATCTTCTGTACTTCACAGAGTACTCAGTGTGAAATCAGTGGTAATAAAACATTCTTCGTGTCCTTCTGTTAAAAAGACAAATCAACCAAACAAACAAACGTGCAGCTGCATTTTGCCCTGTTTTGATATGAAAATCCCTAACTTTTAATAAATATGACAAGAAACTGAATAACACCGTGTGTCCTCTTTTGTGTCATTATTATGGTTGAGAATTCCTTTTTTAACTACATTACATGTATTATTTCCCTTGGTTTATCAGAACTTTCAGCCGGTTCTGCAGTGACCAATGGAAACCCTCGAATACATTTTTAAAAATAGCTTACATTATAGCACCGAAATATTATCTCTACAATTGAACCACAGGCCTCATTTTCTGATACTTAAAGCCTGCTGGATAAAGTGTAGCCTGTAGGAGACTGAGCAACTATGATCATATTTCACTTCTCTGTGCATGTTAAAATGATGTGAAAACGGAACTCGGTTAAAATCAAAAAGCGAAAAAAAAAGTAAGTTTATGAATAAAGAGAAGCACATCGACACAATAAAGGTCATTTAGTCTCTCTCTCTTTGTAAAGTGTTCTACGGCGCTCGCAACTGCATAAGGTCATATGAGCGCGCGGGACACACCTAATATTTTCAGTTGGTAGGAAATTTTGAATTTTGCCCGGTTGGCGGCCGAAGCCAACTCTTATCGATTTTAGACCACCCAGGGATCTTTAACGTGCGCAACTTGCACACGGGCCTTCCGAGACTTTTCGCCCTTGTCCGAGAAGGCTAGGTGTAGATCTTTCCTACCAGAAGATCAGTGGTGTGGCTGAAAGACAGCAGTAAGAAGAAGCGAAGGAGAAGCAGTAGAAAGGCTGCAGAAAGAATCAAGAGCCCAGAGGAAGGGGCAAAGGAGGTGAGGGGGTGGGGGCAGAAAGAGGAGACGAAAGCAGACGACAGAACATTGCTAGAGAGCAGAAAATGAGGTGAAAGGAGACAAATTTAGAGAAGAAAATGTTTCGGTCGCTACCCGGATTCGAACCCGGGACCTTTTGAATGAGAGGCCAACACCTTAATCTCTAGGCCACGAGAGCCCCCGATCATTTAGTGCAGGGAAGAAGCAAGACAAAAAGACAAAAATAACAGTGGGGGGGGGGGGGGGGAGAAAAGAAAGAAGTAGGACCTACCACTGTGGTACCCTCCAAGGATAAATCTTAGCTTTTTAGTTTTAGTAAGTGTTTTACGGCACTTGCAACACAATAAAGTCATAAAAGTGCCGAAGATTAGAGGTGTTAAAATACAAGAAAGTAACAAACACAAAAAAGAAGGAGGGGAGATAAGGACGATAGATGTTTGATAGGAAAGAAGAAGCAAACAACACCAGAGCACCTGCCAACCACCCATGGATAAATCTTAGAACTCTACAAACATAATTTGAATCAAAGCAAACCTCCACTTCATACAGGGCAATTGTTTCTGTTTGTACTGGGGGTCATACACTTCTGAGAAACATCAGAGTAGGGATGAAACTAGATCAAACCGAAAAATTTGTTTGTTTTTTAGTTTTAGCAGAGGTTTTACGGCGCTCGCAACTGCATAATGTCATATGAGCGATAGAAGATTAGAGGTGTTACAAGAGAGTGGGAAACATAAAAAAGAAGGGGAGATAAGGACGATAGATGTTTGATAGGAAAGTAGAAGCAAACCACACCAGAGCACCTGCCAACCACCCACTTTGTTCGTTTAAGTAAAGAGAAGCACATTGACTTGACACAAATGATGGTCATTTCCTTTGTGCAGGGGAAAAAGACAGACAGGCAGAAACAAGAAAGGGTACGTAAAAACTAAAAGAGTAGGACCTACCAGTTGCACCCTCTGACCACCCGCAAGTCAATAAAAAACGCGAGAAAAATATAAATCAATGTAATCTCATTGTTTTGGGGCGATCGCAACTGCATAAGATCATATGAGCGCGCGGGACACATTAAACATTTTCAGTTGGTAGGAAATTTTGAATTTTGCCCTGGTGGTGGCTGAAGCCTACTCATATCGATTTTAGACCACCAAGGGAGCTTTAACGTGCTTAACTTGCACACGGAATCTCCCAGATTTTTCGCCATTGTTCGAGAAGGTTAGGTGTAGATCTTTCCTACCAAAAGATCAGGGCTGGGGCTGAAAGACAGCTGTAAGAAGGAGTCAAGGAGTAGTTGTAGAAAGACTTCAGAAAGAGTCAGGCTGCCCAGAGGAAGGGGCAAAGGAGTTGAGGGGGTGGGGGCAGAAAGTGGAGACGAAAGCAGACGACAGAATATTGCCAGAGAGCAGGAAAGGAGGTGAAAGGAGACAACTTTAGAGAAGAACATTTTTTGGTGGCTACCCAGATTCGAACCCGGGACTTTTGAATCAGAGGCAAACACTTTAACCTCTGGGCCACAAGAGCCCCCAAAGGTATCTCTAGTCTAACGTGTGCAACTAGCTCACAGGACCTCCGAGATATTTCGCCGTTGTCCGAGAAGGCAAGAAGTGTAGATCTTTCCTACCAGAAGATCAGGAATGTGGCTGAAAGACAGCAGTAAGAAGGAGCCAAGGAGTAGCAGTAGAAAGGCTGCAGAAAGTGTCAGGAGTCCAGAGGAGGGGGCAAACGGGGTGATGGGGAGAAAGTGGAGACGAAAGCAGACGACAGAACATTGCTAGAGAGCAGGAAAGGAGGAGAAAGGAGGCAATTTAAGAGAAGAAAATTTTGCCGTTACTACTCGGATTCGAACTCAGGACCCTTGAATGAGAAGCGTACACCTAAACCTCTAGGCCACAAGAGCCCTAAAATAATCTCAGACGCAGGCACTATCCACATACTTTTATTAATCAGGCTCAGTTTTTCTTAAACAAAACTAAGCAAGAACACAGTTGAAAGTGACACTTCTTTATTCTGCAAAAAAGATATCTAAATTGTGAGTCAGAACTTTTGGATAGTTTTGAGTCACATTCTTATTTCAATACTTGCACAAGCCCTCCTTTTCTGGGTAAATGTTTCACTGAATTCGTGATTGGGAGTGAATTCATCATTGGGGAAGAAAAGGTCTTGAGAAAGAGGATAAAGTTAGTAACAATCAAAAGACGCCTCTTTAAGAAACAAAAGAAAAGACGAATTTATAAAGGAAACTTTTGTTCAAAGACAAAAGTATGAGAGAAAAAAAGTCTACAATACAGAGTTAAAAGTTATGCTTTATCTTGAATAACACCATGTTCTATTTAAAAAGTAGGTAACATATAAGGAAAAAAAAAAAAACCCAGCGTGACCTGAAGAACCTTGATGATATTATCTTCAAATCCGAATACCTTAACCACAGTGAGAAAAAATCGTTAGCAAAAAATCTAATTGTACTGGTAGAGTGCCTTGACAAAATCTTAAGCCATCTTAGTCATGAAAGTTTTCATGACTATCAGAGGCAAGTGACGTACTTTCAAAATTTCACCGAAGCTGTTTCAATTGATTCAAATAGAGCTCAACTTCACAAATTGTGTATTATGCTAACATATTTTCGAAACTTTCTGGCTGTCTCTTCAGAAGGCTAAATACTGATACTGATATTGATAACGAAAAAAAAGCAACTTTATCATAAACACAATGTCAAGTCAGTCATATTATAATTGACTTGAGGACACATAATACATAAATAGATTTAAAAATAGTCTGCTGCATACAAGAAACTAATAAATCACCTTAATAATTGTCTAGAAATATATCTTTTTCCTACAAAAGCAAAGCTAAAAGCGAAGTCATTTTAAAAAGTCCACATTTTTTAAAGAAAAGAGTGTAATGGAACAGCACTCCTTACATAACTTTTAGGCTCATCTGAAATCTTTGATCAGTTGACAGTGAACATTGCTTTTTTTTTCTTCCAAAGTCCAAATTTTCACCCAAACAGATGTCACAGGAAAACTAGGCAGAATATGAGTTCATCAGAAACCAGCATTATCAAAATTCATTTGCTCTTCTTGAAAAAAACAAACCCAACCAAATACACTACTTGGGACACAAAGTCTTTCCTTGGTTATAATTAACATCAGACATGCTCATATCTTGAAAAATAAAAAAGATATAAAAAATATATCCTAGTCCTATCTTTCCATGATATAGAATATTATTTAAACCAAATCTTGATTCTTCTTGTCTCAACACAAACATACAAATACTGGGTCCTATGCCACTGATGAATATTCAAGTTTTCTAACACAGTGTGAAGATCAGATGTGCTTCCAATCTCAAAGAAGGTTCTGTTCTTTTTTAACTTGCATTTAATATTAATTCTTAAGCCAAATTAATACACAACAGAAATTGATTCTGGGACCCTGGTAACACATATATATTTATAAGCATGTGCATAAACACAGAATGCAAAGACTGCTAGTTTAATTAAGCCAGCCTTAATATATACAAAAGTAAAGAACTACCGTTTGTAGAAGGCCTTTGACATGTACCGTACATGGATTTTCTGCCATAATGCCAAAAGTACTATAGGTCCGGAAACAACAAAAGTCCCCATACCTGTATGGTCTGACCTTAACGGAGAAAAGGCAACAGATATGACTCCAGTATAAGTAAAATGGTTTGAAGAAACTGAGAAAGCAAAGTGGCGAACAAAAGAATATTTTGTTCCAAACACCCCTTAGAATAAATAATGTTTCCTCTGCTCACTTCCTGAATCATCTTGATTAGAAAATAAAATCTGACGTGAAAAAAAATTCTACGATTATCATCATCACCACAAAGGATATAGAAAAGATCATACATAATACATATCTTTTTAATAAAGCACAACTGAAGTTAGGTAGTAAATTGACAAAGCAATGACACAAATATGTACACAACCGTTATCAACAAAACAAGAGAACAAAACTTTTCCTATAAATCATTACTACTGGATATCACGTTTCATGTGTAGATCAATTTTTTTTTCCAGCGTTTTTCTCTTTTTCTGAGCTTATTCAAACTGCCACGTTTTTGACGACAAAATACAACTCTGATGTTCCATCCCTTTTCTTCACAATATGGCCAATATGTAAACAAAACAAAATCACCATAATATCCTAGTTACATTTTGCAAAAGGGGTAAAAACTCGGGATCGTTCAAGTAATTTGACTGATGTTCTACCGACTGGGCAGTTTTTGCTCCTCTTCTAGTAACAAAAAGTGTACCCTGTCAAACTCGTACAAGTGATGAGAATATCTTAAACCGAGAAGATGCAAAGCAGTGTGCGCAGAAACTATCCTGGTACAAACTCAAACCACTGTTCGGAGGGGATGTAGTTCATGAAAACACAGGAGGAGAGAAAAAGACGAGCTCTACGTGGGACAGAGTTGAGTGCAGTATGAGTCGATTAAAAAAGAAAGGACAAAGACACCAAGACGAGAACAACGAGTGAACAGGCACAACAAAGTGCTGCTGACAACAAAACCGACGATGATGACAGCTATCAGGTGAAGAACATGGGGTGGGAGGGGGTCCCTTCTCACATCTCTTCTAAATGTGCACGGCACATGCCAAAAAAGGAGAAGAATGATGAGCTTGACAAACTCCTCTCCCCTTCACAGAGTAGCCGTTCAATCTCTCCTTCTCTTCTTGTTGTCTTCCTGAAAATACACAGTATAAGAAACTTTTAAGAAAGAGCCCAACATCACAATAATGGTAAATTATTTACGTAAAAAGAAGCACATCTACACAATATCATTCATTCAGCGCAGGGAAAGACCAAGACAGGCGAACAGAAACATCAGATAGACAGAATAGAAGTTGGACTTTACCAGTAGCATCCTCCAACAATCCACAAAAAATACAAATATGTGTTGAGAAAAGTAAAACCACCTAAAGAAGAGGCAAAAAGAAAAAGAGGACAAGCACATATAATACTAATAGACAAGCAGGAATCACACAGCAGATAAAGTGTAACACAAGTATGTGAGGCAGCATGGTGGAATCAGGCTCTCCTCAAAATAATCAAAGTGAAGAAACTGGTATTTTTCCGCAGATTTGAGAAATTTTATCGATTTTTTGGTTTTTGGCTCAACACATTTCATGCCTGTTAAAGAACTCATTTCTGTGTGGATTTGACTGAAAAACGTGGATTGAAGGCACAAAGAATGTTAATTTTCAGTTACCACGGACTCTTATGCTAAGGAAATAACTAACTTTTGGCAGCCTTTTTGTCACTAATTTTATCTCTGAAACCAGGTGACCCCAACCTCCTTCATTTGCAAATATCTCGACTTGTATTCAAGATAAATGGATATTTTTTTCATCCAAATAAAGACAAGTAAACAAGCTTTAAGACGATACCAATAACTCTACATGCCCAAATATTGACGAGAGCCTGATTCCACCACGTCGTGCCACAAATGTAACAAAGATAACATCCTGCCATGATAAAGCAACAAAATATTTGGGCAAAGATAACACAATTCTTAGGCAGGTGACTCAGCCTTTATTTTTAGTAGAAAAGATAAAAGGATACACATACAGGATCTGGGTTGTTGCTTAATACAACTTTTTCCCCAAACCTATGTGTGAATTAGCAAAGGTATTTGTGGCCTCGTGACAAAGTGTCACGAAATTAATTGCCACTGGAGGAAGAACCTGATCTCTTGAAAATAGAAATAGAACACAGTGCTGAATTCACATGGTCAGTAACTTCACCAGATGAAATGTCCTGACTCAACATCTTTATCCAACAGACCTATAAACACTCATTCTTGAATAAAGAGATGAAATAGGAGTCTGGAGAAAAGATAGTACTTATCTATCATATTGAAGGAAATATTCAGAATTGTACATGCAACAAATCATTACCCAAAATATACATATATATTGATGTCCCAGTTTTACTGTGTATGTGGCAAAAAGAAGTTAGACACTTCTTTTGTCTGAAATCAAGTTGTTCCCACTCACAATTGCATTTGGTGACACTATTACTATAACGAGTGAAAAGAATACTTAACACAGGATTTTCAGCAATACATGGTTAGTCATACAAAAATGATATATATTTCTTTAAAACATAATATGAACAGTAACTTGTAACTAAAAACCAGGGACCGGCATATTCACATTAGTAACCTGAGAGCAAAAGTAGCTACTGAGACCATAAACCATGATAAATATGTGTGAGCGTGAGAATGGAATATTCAAAGCAAGGGTTTCAATATGCGTGGGCAGAGAAATAAAAACCAAATGGGTATTCAAATAAAAACCAAATGCCCCCCCCCCCCCCCCCCCACCAAAATAGTAAATAGTATAATAATAAAAGAGGAGTCAACAGGAAAAACAGGAATAGTCACAAACTGCAAATCATGAGGGTATCAATTTTGAACGCATGTTGACTCAACTGTATTTCTGTTAACTGTTGGTTGATTATTGTAGTTAGATTTCCCATTCAACAAACATAACAATAAACCACCAGTCAAATAAATATGAAGTTATGAGCTCACAATCTTTTAAAATTGAAACCCTCACAATTTCTAGTTTGTGCCTTTGCCTATTTTCCCCCGTGGACTCCTCAAATGTAATAACCATAAGAACAGAGACAAAAGACTTTCAACTAATGTGTAATCAACATGGAACAGATGTCACAACTCTGGGTTTTTTTTAAGGGAAGTTGCAACACAATAGGAACACATACATAAGTGCTGAAGATTAGAGGTATTACAAGAGAGTAACAAACATAAAAAGGAGGAGAGATAAGGACGACAGAGATTTCATAGGAGAGAAGGAGCAAACCACACCAAAGCATGTGTCAACCATCAACGACATAAGCTAGTAGCACTACAGTACACAGACAGCTGACACAGATAAGCATAATGAGAAAGATAATAAAATTTCACAACAGATCAGGTTAAGCCTCTAGAAGCAGTTATTTCGTGACTGGGAAAATATTTCTGGAAAATTCTCTGCATTCGCTGAGATTACACTAACTACAAACTGTTTTGACCGTGTAATGTATTTCACTAAAATAGATTGAAAACTTTGCAAGCAGACAGTTGAACTCAAAATAAACCTTTGGGATGAATCAGTTTTATACGTAATTACTAAAATGACCGTGTACATATCTGATGAGCAAGCAAAAATGTTCACAATGCCTCTCTCCACTTGCCATGTGTCATCATGTTGACGCATACAATACAACATGAAACTATGACAAGGCCTGACCAATGGTATTTCATCTTATGCATTTCAACTTGATGCTTCGATGCTAAGTGTGTTACAAAAGACTAACCCCACTCGAGAAAGAATAATAAAACTAATGTGTCGCAACGAGGTGGAACCGGGCGCACGTCAATTTTTTGGCATATGGGGTTATTAATAAATATTGGTATCATCTTAAAGCTTGTTCATTTGTCTTGCATTTGATGAAAAAATACCCATCTCTCTTGATTACAAGTCGAGACACTTGCCATTGAAGGAGGTGGGGTCACCTAGTTTTAGAGGTAAAATTAGCGAGAAAATGGCTGTCAATGTTTGGATACTTCGATAGCTGGAGGGTACATGGAAACTGAACATTTACACTTTTGGTGCCTTTATTTTTGTTTTTTAATGTAAAGTGAAAACAGAAATGTGTTCTTAAAAGGATATAAAAGGTATCGAGCCAAAAAACCAAAAAAATGATAAAAACTGACAACCCGTCAGAAAGATGCCAGTTTCTTCAATTTTAATATTTTGGCGAGCGCCTGATTTTACAACACTGCCTCACTAATAATAATTGCATTTATATAGCATGGCAGCATGCAACCATACCCTACGCACTTTACCACTACTATTACCCCAACAGACCCTATAACACCCAAAAACATTCTTGGCTTAACGAGTAGCATACAGTGAAAGAATTAAATGGCCTAACATGAACAAACTGATGACAAGATCTTTCGTAATCTATAGCCAGGTACCCATTTCCACCTGGGTGTAGCTAGGAAAATTTTGTGTGCAGTCTCTTTCCAAACGACACAACTTTGAGCACCTGACAAGGTTCTTACCAATGACCTTTTGGTCACAAACTCGACAGCCAGACCACTAGACACAGTGGAACTGTTTGTTGCATGAATAGTCAGAATGAGACGCAAGCAACAGAAAATGACACCAACATACAACCCCCAATAAAGTGAAACATTTGTACTGACATCAGATTATAAATGGGTAAGCATTTTTATTAAAGAGAGGAATGATTGCCTTCTTCATGAAAACTGGACAAAAAAAATGTTGAGTCAACTTGACTGTTAGGGCAATTTCGTAGCTTCCTCAGCACAAAAAGATACTGGTACTCAAAATGAGCTGCTTTACTCAAGATTGAGTTTATGGGCTTTGGCGATAGACTGGGACTGCATGAAGCTTATCGTGGACATGATGTTGGTCAGAGAGATACTTAGTCACCTTCACAATCTGTAACAACCACACTTCCAACAAAAACCACACCCTCAAGCCAATTTACAACGACAAATGAATATGAGGAATCCACATCCATTAAAAAAAAAAAAAAAAGTTAAAAAACACACTCACTTTTTTGCTCAAGATAATCAGCAGAGCTCTGAAGATGTTCACAGCATCCAAGAAAAGATCCACAGAGTGCCTGAAACACAGTACAATAATAAAGTTTTGCAAATATGTCCGATTCTACTCTATTCATTATGATGTGGAAATGCATGAACACACAGAAATGTTCATAGACATAAATTTTATAGACCAGTAAACAGTCAACTTAATGATTAAAAGTCTGCTATTCATCTTTTAAATTGTTCACATCCTTAAATGCACAACAGATGCATACAGCAATGGATGCACATAGGAATATATGCAAATACGTTTAATGCGTTGCAAATTTTAAAATCATGAAAACGGAAAAACAGTGACGTCTGCTTATACCTGACATGATTCATCTAGCAACAGCGGTAACCAAACTAAAAGAAAATCCCCAATGTTATTTTTCTTCTTTTCGAGCAACCTCTCTAAACCAGAGAAAATCCAGTGATCTTCAGATTCCACTGTATTTGACAAAACTACGGATAAGTAAGTAGGTGATGTAAAGTATACATAAAAAGGCCAAAGTCATTGCTGTCACAATCAAACCACCAAAGTCAAAATTAAATTTTTTTTTCGATTTTTACAACCTCCCAAAGCTGTATCAAAATACACCTTCCAACAACACCATAATACAGTTTAATCCTATTGTCAAGACGTACAATTTTCTTGCACTTCATTATCCCTGATACAAAAAACTCAACAAAAAATTATTTTTTTGTCTCTAGTTTAAAAAAGCATGAATGAACTTATTAAAGTAGATTGCTTGCAACACCGGCAAAGAGTACTTTTGAGCGCACAAGTTCCAGCAACTCACCAGATGAAGTCGTCATCGCCCATGCGCCTCTTCTCCACAATGAGCTGAGTGTCGTACAAGACAAAGGCAGAGAAGATGAAAAGCACTCCGTAGATGTACACCTGGAAGGCAAGAGATACACATACAAATTGATGAATGACAAGTCAAATCAACCCTTGCCTGTTCAGGCAATCGTCCCCTTCTGCTTTCAAGTTATTCATATTAGCGATGTCCAAGTTCTGAAAAGCATTATTAATTGATACACTGCAAACGTAGAGAGCCTAAGAGTCTTTTCAAACTGGCACACAAAAAAATTATTCCGTAAATATGGTGCAATGAGTATTAAATTCTAATATTTATTAAAGAAGCCATTGAGCTCATGTGATCACACAGAAAAAACATTTCACCTTGTCTTAGAACAGCTTCAATACTATTGCTTCCATTTTTAAGCTAGAATGTAATTGAGGGAATTCTCTGCTGTAAATAAATCAAATCACAAACATACATCAAAGATGAGCTTGGATCCAAGGAAAATGTTCAGGAATATGGCAATGGAAAGCCACATCAAAGCAGACATGAGAAAACCTGAGGAGTGAAAGACAAAGAATGTTTAAAACATTGCAGACAACCAAAGAATTTGTGAAACAAAATCAGTATCTGTATGTTAAAGATTATGTATTCCAACACATAGAAGGCAACATCTTGTGACTAGGAAAAGAACCTCCTAATATAAAAGTGAAATTTGAAAACTTTTTTACACTTTAACTCACTTCAGACGGGTCACACAACAGTTGCGTGACCCCCGCCGTGACGCTCGCGACGGGTCTCACAAGCCCTGCGTGACCAACTTTGGAATTTTTTTTCCGCTCTACAAATCACGCACGGATCGCGAGACCCGCCTTGTACCCTTGTTTGGCCAAGCCTGAGCTACTTAGACTTCGTTTCGTATCTCTGGGGCCGGTAGTTTTTAAGTTATTGAAGGTGAAGGACAGTGACCCCAACTGGGGTTGAACAGACCGGAACTCGCGCTTTGTTTTTTTCTATACAGCTGATAGTAATCCGACAGTCGCGTCGTAGTAACGGTCGAAGAAGTCGCATGAACAAGAATCACACAATTTCGCCGTTTTCTATACTTCTGTGCGTTTTACTAGTTCTAGTGTCTGAGAATATGATGTGTCTAATAGTTAGGATCCTGGATATGTACCTGAACACGGCCCGAGTCGTAGTTCTAGGGCTAGATCTAGCACTAGTACCGGTGTTGTTTTTCGCGCAACGAAATCACAACGACGTGCCGTACATCTGTCTCATGTAATTCAGTGTATTGGTCTGAATCAATGCACAGACCAGCTTTTATATTTTCACCAAACACTCGCACATGTATACAAATCAAACCAGAACACTTTGAACTTTTATTTTTGTTGTTGCAGTGAATTTCATTCTACTTGTCACGTCTCTGGAAATTTTTCGGAAAATCAAATTCATGCCAATTTTTAAAAAATCATACAAATTAAAGTATTAGACTTAGACAACTTTAGTTTTTTGCATTAGATTAAGCTTGAATGTTACTTTACTGTGTCAAAAAATGATTACAATAGGGTAATTCTGAGAGTTGTGGTGATTTATCGAAATACCCCAAAAACACCAGTCTTCAACGCTTGTGACTGGTGAAAGGGCCCAGTCGCAAGTGAGTTAAGATATGTTCTAATTGTCAAAGATGAAGAAATTGTTCTTTCAGAGTAACAGTGCACAAGCTGTAATGCACAATAAAACAGCATTAGAAAAGATATAAACTTAATTTCACTCGCTGGAAATATTTATTGAACATTCTCATCTGGTTAAACAAACTGGAAACATCTTCATTCTATTAAAAAGAGGTTTCAAAATGGAAATTCTAGTAACTCATAACTTTACACACAGACATAGATGAAAGGGCAAGATTTAATAAACAAATACCATAAAGAAGTAGAACATTTACAAACAACAACTCCTAACTTAATTCAAACCACAAAAGAATACAAAATGACAATAAATGTCCTTTTGAGACAAACAACTGTCCCAGGTCCTTACCTCCCATATACAGGAACATTCTGTTGCGACTGAGCAGAGCTGCCATTGTGAAGCTGATGAAAATTACTGCAGTGCCTGCAAGCGCAGTGGTGACAATGCTGAAAACAATGAAAGAAAAGGAGTGAGTTGACAATCAATAGACAAATGCATTGCCTTCTACGCAAAAAGAAAAAAATTATATTGTTAATTCAAAATCCACTGAGCCTAGCTATTTACATGTAGAGGGACTTCCATCCTGTAAATGAATGAGATTAAATATCTAGATTTGTCCCTGCTCTCTCATAAAACCAAAAGAAAACCAATCTCAAGCTAATTAAATCAAGGTGTTTCAACTTTCAACTGATTTCCATCATTATTAAAGAAAATCAAAACACTCACGTTGGCTCAAGGCTGACCACCATTTGCAAAAGAGGACCCAAAGAGATACCTGTGAAGAGAAAAGGATTAAAATAGTGAAACCAAAGAACTTACTATTACGTCCTGGCACAAAATTTTCATTAGCCCCATTGTTTCAACCATGGGTGTACCTGTTCTCCAGATCCTAAAATATATTTTTCTATTCTCAAAATCTATCTACAAGACAGTCACTACAAGAATGCTGCAGAGTTCTAACACACTATATCACAACTGAAACAAAATAAGAAACAGCTGTAAAGGTTGCAAGCCATACACCGTAACCTGCCTAAAGAGACGTTTGAATATTATTCATAACAGACAGACAGAATCACACTTCTATACCACAGTATGAAACCATCCAATTTTCAGCCAGTAGCAAGAACTACCTCTTTCAGCCATTGACTCCTTCAATCACCGGAGAGCAGAGCATTCAACAGGGGACAATCTTTACACTACAGTAGTTTCTGATTTAGATGGAGATTGGATTTTCAAAACGGAGTGAACATTTAATTTGTCTCAACACCAAAGGGGTTTCCATTTCATACAGGCTCAACACATATCTCATAGGTGACTGAGCAACTCGACAGCAAGAGGCATCATGCCACTTGGAACAAAGTTGGCTTGCCATCATGGTCAATCCAAATACTTTGGGACCATGTCCTTTCAACGCTTTGTAGAAAATGATTGTGGTATAATCTGCTATATATGCCATGTAGACTGTCAAATCGTTGTACTCGTGCCCTTTTGGCTCTTTGTTGAAAATGGTTGGGGTAAAATCTTCTATTATATTTATATAGTATGCCCTGTAAATGGTTAAAAATGGTTGTACACATGTAATTCTAAAATCAGGCAACTGTCACTCACCACTACACAAGGCGAACCCTACAAAGATGGCCAATCTCTTGCTGACCTCTTCTTTGGCATGTCTGGTGGATGCAAGCCAACCCATCAGACCCAGAGAGGCAAGCATAGTCAAGAAGTGCCACTGAAGAAAGCAATCAAACAGAGGTCAAGTATAAGGAGGAGAAAAAAAAAGGGAGGGGGGGGGGGCGCGGGAAGTAAACCAACAAGTTTCTGCTCCTTACTACTGTGTCAAGTATGCTCTAGTTTAGAAATGTTTCTTGATGCTTCACAAACACCACTGTGGAAAGAAAAATAAAAAAACAACCAAAACCCACTGCACACAGCTCTGGTCAAGGCCTCCTCCTGGCCCTGAATTTCTAAAAGAGAGGAAGGCGTGTGAAAAGCAAATGGTAAAACTGTCAAAATAAAAATTCTATTCTTTTCGTAAATTCCCCAGATCAATTTGTATTTCAAAAAAATTGGCCGAGAAAAGTGGTAGTTAAGCCATCAACTTTCTTCACACATATAAGTAGCTAGAGCTTCTAAGCAAAAATCATTATATGGATCCTTACTTATTGTCAAAGAATAGCAGCTTAGATTCCAAAACCTAGGTGCAGGGATTTCAATAAAGTCTCATACTAGCATTTATTATAATCCTGCTACAATAGTAAAGTTTGTTCCCACTTGTGGCTCTCAGTGCCACACTTCCAAAAGTACAAGCTGGAAGAGCTCGCTGCTACCAAAACATAAGAAAACAATACAAAACTGAACTGAAACTTAATTTTAGAATTAAGTGAATTAAATGAAAAGGCAATCTCAAAAGTCTTGTACAATTTTTTTCTGGCAATGTGCATTTGAGCTTGATTCTTTTATAGCAATCAAAGCACAGAGGGCCAGGAACCCCCCCCCCCCAAAAAAAAAAAACCCACCAAAAAACAAAAACAAACCAACAACCAACAAACAAACAAAAAAAACCCAAAACAAAACAAAATTAAAAACAAACAACCCCTCCGAAAAAAAACCCATCAAACAATCCCCGAAACAGCAGTTGCATGCAAATAAAGTATTCATAAAAATTTGTTGTGGAAGCACAAAAGAAAGGAAATAAATCAAAATAACATAGTAGTGAACTTGGGTCTTTCAATGCAACTTTAGTTGAATTTTCAGCTAACAACTTTTTAAAGCAGTTCATGCATTATTCTAACACTAAATAATATACATTTCTTTAAATTTAAAAAATAAAATACCCCCCCCCCCCTCCCCCAAGAAATGCTACAAGATGGTATTTGGAATTTATTTCATAACATTGTGTTGTGTAATATTTTTGTGGTTCAGACAGACAGAGTTCACTTTCACTCCTACGTGTGATAATGTACTATCCCCATCTGTTCAGCTTTATTGCACATTGCACATAAAACGGGGTGTGGTCCCAAAGTGGAAAAAAGCTGAAAATACATGCAGTTACAAACACTGTGCACAGCCAGCTGTGACGTTTAAAATATATGTATAAAACTCTAGGGCCACCAGACTGCACAGTGTTGAACAGGTTTCACTTGCAGTGAGTAAAGGGGCTTGACTTTTTTAGAAAGTAAAATAAAAAATATCAGATCTTTTTATCATTCAAACAATCAACTTTTCAGCAGTGCTTCCAACAGCTGAAGCTGAAAAGTAAGGAAAATTCTGCAGGGGGTGTGGGGGCCATACAGGCCCCTGGCAGGGTCCAGGGACTGAATATACCCCAATTGTCCTCCACTTTCATGTTTGAATGTCGAACATCACAACCTTGGAACACCATTTATTTTTAATTTGAGTAGTTTTAGCATAAAAATTCCTTTCACCGCGGTCCTTATCTTGATCCCGTGCAGTAGAATCACCCCACTGACAATTTCTGAGTTCTCTAGATATGGACAAATTTGAAAAAAAAGTTGCTTTCTGATAGGGATTCTCTGTCTGAAATCACTAGTCAATTTACTTGATCAATGCACACATTTTCCAGCCGCGGACACAATCCGAAGATAGACAGAAAGAATAAATGAATGACAGAAGGGAGGAAATTGGTACAAAAAGTTCGCTAATAGCTAGCCCGAATTTTATTAATCTGTAGGTAAAAATGTTCCGCCGACCAACCCGCAATGAATGCATGGGGACCTAGCAGAATAATGGCCGCTGGTAGGAAATGCGCAATCTAGCAGGTTCCTATTAACTTATTGCTGAGAGAATAGCTGTAAATATCAACTTATACAAGGAAATACGAAGGTGAGTAAGGATCCTTTGCTAATGAATTTCAGTAGTCCTATGTGTCGCACTTTTTTACGGAAGGAAATGATAATGATGGAGGAGCAGGTACTGAACTGGCAGAACGTACGGATTTCCGTAAAAATATGGAAAATTGGAAGCACTAATCAACATTAACCACACGAATTTCATATGAAAATATTACAGTGAGAACAGCAGGCAATCAAACAGTGTTGTTAGCAAAAACAGTATGAATGAAGCAGTCTAAAGTAACACACTTCTACCTTCAATCGACAGCAGTGCTAATCGTACAGTTACAACAAACCTATATTTTTCCCCCCTGATAAATTCTAATAAAACTCAATTTCTTTACAAAGAGAACTGGGACAGACTCTCCTTGTAAAGGCTTCTAAAGCAACTCACCTCTCCTGCACCTGTGAAAGTGTGAACGTAGGCACCTGCTGCGGCTGCCAGCACACCAATTGACAGGGTGCTGTACACATTCTTCAAATGTGTCTGAACGGTGGATTCCCTGAACAAAAAAGAAAAAAGAAAAATGCAAAACCTTGATGACAGATATCAACTTACCGAGCCCTATATAAAAAGTGACACCCACTCCCAGCTTCCTTAGATTTGATTAAACACTTGAAGACAAATTTTCAAAAGTTATGAAGAGAATCTTGTACACTTCATGTGAATATTTCCTCAAACTGTACCCGCAACAGTAGAGTATTATAAGTAAAGCCCATACAAAGTGTCTATAGAACTTTCTTTAAACACAGATTTGAAACTAAAACAAAGCAAATAGATACTGGTAAATTTTTACTTTCACTCCCGCACACAGATACACTTCCTTGGGCATCAAACTGCAGTATTTTTTCCGGCAGATCATAGCCACTAAAACTGTCACACATATAAATTATTTTCAGGAATATTCCAACCAAACTGCAAAATATCAAATTGTGGGTTAAAACGGGGGGCTGTAACACCCCCCCCCCCCCCCGATTTATCGTTTACTTCAGGGGCAGCCCCTCTCTCCCGAAAACCTCCCAATTTGTCCAAAGTACGGAAAAGACTACTGTAATTAGGTTCAGTGTGATGTAGCTCGATTAAAAAACATCAAATATTTCAAAAACTATAAATTTGCGACGGAAATTAAGTCGATGTTTGTGTTCAGCACATTGATCAATATAGTAGAAAGTGTACACCTAGTAACTTTCATACATGTGCACGAGTCAGGAGGAAAAGTAAAATAATGCCTAAATATATATAAGACAGACAGAGAGAGAGAGAGAGGGAGGGGGG